GATCTTCCAGCGTCCCTGGATCCCTTTGACGACACGATCGATATCTGACGGATCCTTGCTCATGATCAACATATCATCAACGTACAGACCCACCAGTATCCTTCGATCAGCTGTCGTGAAGACACTTGGTTCGCTGAAAATTGGCTGGAAACCCAGCCCACCGAGGCCTTTGCAGGCCTCAATGTACCACTCTCTCCCAGACTGCTTCAATCCGTAGAGCGACTTCCGTAGCCGTAGGACATAGCCCTCCGGACAATATAAACCTTCAGGAGGCCTCATATAGACCTCCGCATGTAGGTCTGAGCGTGGATACGCGCTTACGACATCGATTTGCCGAATATCCATGTCCTCGTAGGCTCCAATCGCCAGGAGGAGTCGAAGAGACTCAGCCCGAATTGTCGGTGAGAATGTCTCAAGGTAATCGTCGCCAGGGACTTGACCGAAGCCCTGGGCGACAAGTCTTGCCTTGAATCGGTCAAGAAGGCCAGTGGGCGTGTATTTGACATTGAACACCCAGCGGCAACCCAGAACTCTCTTTCCTTTCGGTAGCTTCGCACGCTCCCAAGTCCCGAGCGACTGGAGCTGTGCGAGCTCTTCCTGGACAGCGAGAGTCCAGTCTGCACCATGTTCTGGATCGTTGACAGCCTCTGGGTATTTGTCCGGGACTAGCAGTTTGGCAGGTATAGCGTACGACGCCTCAAACGCCTCCTCGAACGGCCTCGTTGGTCGTCGCTCTCTATCGCTTCGCCGGACGCTAAAATCCTCAGCAGGAGAGCTTTCCTCAAGAGTCTCCGCCTCCGTGAGGAGTTGGTCGGTCGCAGATCCGGAGTCGTCTTCTTCTTCTGGGAGGCCAGTAGATTCGTCGTTTTCAGCGTTAGGGGCCTTGTCCTCGTCCCGCTCTATCGACTGGACCGGTGGTAGCGGCACTATAGGGTGCAGTAACCCTTCACTGCTCCGTGTTACCCCCTGGATAGGGGGTTGCATTTCCTGATCAGGCAAATCGCTGACTAGAATATCATCATCAGCATCGTGCAGGCCCCCTATCAGAGTACTGTTCTGATGGCTTCGCCGATCAACAGCCTCTATAGAAGGCTCCCTCTCGAGGTAGGCCTCCATGGGGTCAAACCCCACATCCTCAATAGGCCCCTCGTTATAATTGTCAAGATCAAGCCGTTGATCTTCGACAAACCTCACTGAGGTCGCGATTATAATCCGATTGCCAACCGGGTCATATAATCGGTACTGTTTCGAGGTTGCCATATAGCCAACCAGTGCAGTCCGTATCGCGTTAGGCGCGAGCTTGTCACCGTTCCTCTGTTCTTTTGAGAGGTTTGCGTATGCGACGCAACCCCAGACACGGAGGTGGGCTACAGACGGCTTCTTGCCGCTGTACGCCTCTTCTGGCGATTTGCCCTCAGGCCCGATTGGCAGCCTGTTCCGTAGATAGGAGGCTGCCATCACCGCCTCAGCCCAGAGCTTTGTAGGTAGGCGCGCGTAGGCGAGCATCGCCCTGATTAGGGCCACCAAGGCCCGATTCAGTCGCTCAGAAACTCCATTCTGATACGACGTATACGGCGTTGTAAACTCGAACAGAATGCCCTGGGAACTTCCGAGGTCCCGTTCGAGGGCCTTGTATTCGCTGCCGTTGTCGCAGCGTACGACTTTGATCTTTCGGCCAGTCTCAAGCTCAACGCGAGCCCTAAACTCTGTAAAAATTGCCCGTAGCTGCCCTGTCGACTTCATGACATAGACCCAAGTCTTCCGTGTGTAGTCGTCTGTAAATGTCACAAAATAGACGTTGTCTCCGCCAAGTGACGGCGTCCGGTACGGCCCCCAGATATCGCTGTGGATCCTGTTGAGGGGGGCCGTTGCATGCTCTGATGCCTTCCGATTGATAACCTGCGTACTCTTGTTGAGTAGGCATTCCCTACACGAGTCCGCAAGGTCACCAATTAGCCCTGGCAGTCCGTCAACTGCTGTATGGGCCAGCCTCAAACTCCTTGAGCTCAGGTGCCCGAAGCGCCGATGCCAAAGCATGGCTTCCTTTGGTGACATCGCCACTGCGCGCAGCGCAGTGACGGCGCCTTCCTAGGTGCCGTCGAGGACGTAAGAGCGTCCAATTCGATCGGCTACGCCGATAACTTCCCCCCTAAGCTCAAGGAGCATCTTGCCGCCACTGGTCGTCCTTGTCATGATCCCCCTGTCCTGGAGATGGGAGACCGAGACGAGGCTTCCAGCGAGCTTCGGTACGTGCAGCACTTCATGAAGCTGAATACGACGTTTGCTGCCCTTGACAGTTATTTCGAAGCTGACAGTCCCTTCGGCGACAGCCTGGATTTCCATCCCGTTGGCCAATCTGACCGGAATCGGCTTGTCTAGGGCAATATAGTCAACGAACGCCTCTTTGGCGTACGTCATATGGCGGGAGCAGCCCGAGTCCATAATCCAAGCCTTGCTTTGGGCTTGGACGTCGCTAACCCATCGGGTATCGACGCCACAGAGTTTGTCAACTGCGGCGATCCAGGATGTCTCAGTAGTAGGAGCGGCTTGGATGCTGGCAGTGTTTGCCTCCTCCGGTAGAGGCGGTGATAACCCCTTTCCACCGCCAGGGGCAGCGAGAGGTCCAGTCGATGGCCCTGCTGTCTTTGGCTCTCCTCTCTTCTTCGCGTTGCAGTCCTGGCGAATATGTCCAGACTTCCCGCAGTGATAGCACGTACGGGTGTCTTTCTGAGAGGACTTGCCTCCGCTGCCCCGTCCACCCCCTTTGCCCCTTGTACTTCCAGTATCCGTAGAGGCTTGCCGGGCAGATTCGGTGACCGACTTTGAAACCTTGGTCTGTTCCTCAATATCGACAAACTGGTCGATGATGTCTTGGTAATCTGTGATTTTTGCCGCCCTGATCTGGGCGCTAGCAATGTCATATTTGCTGCCACGGCTTCTCATAATCGCCAGGAGCCGGCTGACCTTCCTCGAGTCCGAGGGCCTGTCTTCTGGCTCTATCGCTGCGATGTCGTCCTGGAGCTGGTTTAACATCGTGGCGATGTCAAATACCGGTGTAGACGCTGGCGGAAGGTAGCTCCCGAAGGCCTCGTTTTTTAAGTCCAGCTGCTGCAGCCCGTCGCGGGCGTGCATTTTCTTGAGCTTGTCCCAGACCTCCCTGGCTGTCGAGAGACCTATAACCCGGTTGACAATCGACGGGATGCAACTTTCTAGGATGATCCTCCTAGCCCTGTTGTCGCGGAGGAAAGCGAGCTGTTCTTCGCGTGTAGCGGCAGCCTCCTCAGTTTCTTCCTTTTTTGGCTTGTCCAGCTCATATTCGAGCGTGAACTTGTTGTCGATAGCGCTCCAAACCTTCCTGTCGATAAGCTCGATCTGGATCTGGAGGGCCCAATTCCGATAGTTCGGACCAGACAGCTTCTGGATCCGGGACCTCTCGATGTGTTCCGACTCCATTTTTTTGTGAGCCGTTATCACTTTCCGGCTTGTGGAGCTGAACTGCCGCAGCCAAGTCGATGGCTTACTTTGCGGGCTTCTTTAGACTGAGTATTACCGGTGGGTAGCTCAGGCTCTCACTTTATCGATGTGAGACTTCGGAATCAATTCTTTGGTTCAAATGCGAGGCTTCCTGAGCGTCGCCGGGCTCATAACCTGTTGAACACATAATTGGAGTTTGACGACTTGATTGAAAAACTACGGGGGGCGAAGCCCCTATATATACACAGTTGGTATACAGGCTACGCATGTGCAGCGTACTACCAGGAATGCAGTTCCAACACTCATATACCTTCCGTCACTAAGGGAGAGGGACCCCGTTGGGTCAATCCCCTTAAGTACCCGAAACGGGTCCGACTCGGCTAACCTGCCTTAACTCTTATCATGTGACCGTAACCTGCTCGACTCAGATCCTTTCCGTCACTGAGGGACAGACATCCTTACAAGCGGGCGGCGTCAGGTATATCCACGTGTTCGTTGGTAGTTCGTTATGACGAGCTATTTGCGGATTGAGGGGGGGATAGGGGGGTGTACAAATGGTCTCGGATCCCCACATGGAAGTCCAGTACCCGGATGGCGGCATGTTCCTAGCATGGGTCGGTAAAGGGGGGCTGTTGGAAGCTGGGCCGTCGGGTGCCCTGAAACCAAAAGAAGCCGGAAGGCGCATTCTTATCTTGCATGCGCGGATCATAGCTGCTCTAAACGATGATGCCACCGCATAAGGTTAAGCTCCAAACGGTGGTGACGATGGTGCCTGCTGAACGGGCTTTGTTGCTCGGTTGGCGTTGGGGAGTGGGGGTTATTTGTGGAGAATGCGGGGGAGGAGTGTGGGGAAGTGGGGTTGGAGGCGAAGGCCGGCGGGGTGGCGGTAGTTCGGGAGTTGTCTCAGATGAGGATGTAGATTAAGTCGGGTAGACGATGGCGCAGCAGGTGAACGAATGATAATTCAACTATCCATAAAACCAAATGTATCGCTCAGTCCGTCGCGTGGTCCCGATCCGCCCCCCTCCCGTTCAGCGGCCTGGAGCAGAACAGCTTCGTTGAGCTCCGCAGTGGACCGGACCTCTAAAGGTTATTTCGAAGCTCCCCGCAGGGTTTTCCATTATTTTCTTCCGAAATGGGGCTATCAGTCAATTAAAACCTGGGGAATCTTCAATTTACAGACAGGGAAGGTATGAGTATTAAGCAGGTCTCAGTCGCAGCTTCCTCAAAATATTCATTATAGATACGGAAGGTATGATTACCAAGCAACCAAGCAAAATCTCAATCGCAGCTTCCTCGGAAACTACAGTGGAGCCAAGGCGAGTCAAATCAGGTCAAGTCAAGTCAAACCAGGCCGATTCAAACGGATAATAGTCAAATCAAGTCAAGTCAAACAGGTCAAATCAAACCGAAAATCCACACTTCAAAATCTCAATCAATTCAAGTTTCTCAACTCCCCCATCCATCCGTATACCCATCCATGAGCCCATCCATATCTATGCACCACCCCCCCCCCCCCCACCAGACGCCCTTAAAAAAAGATCAAACCACCTCCCAACCATCCCACCACTCGTCTCACAAATTTCCTCATCCATCCTGGATCCAACTCAAAAACCCCTCGGCGCCCTACCCCTAATCCTCGGCACCGCAGACGCAGTCTCCGACTCAGGGCGGGCTGTATAAACACCACCCATCTGCATAACCATCGTCTGCGTCTCCGTAACCGTCTCCTCCACCACCTCTGTCACTGTGCCCATCCTGGCCCCCGACGCCGAAGTGGGTGTCGGTGTGGTAGTAAGGAACGGCGTGACGATGGGTCGGGTTGGGGAGACGCTGGATTGTTGTTGCTGTACTGATGACGGTCGAGTTTGCGTGTTTGCTGGGGCGTTGGCGGTGACGGTGACGGTTATCATGGTTCCTGGGGCTGTGACTGTAACTGTCGCGCCTCCCACGGGTGGGGTGGCACTCGACTTGATTGGGGTAGCAGCCGCTGATTTGGCATTCGACTCTCCACTGCTCGACCCTCCCGTGCTGCCATCAACAGGAACAATAAACTGCTCCTCCATCTCCCCCTTAATCCCCGCATTATTTATATCCTGGCCCTCAACAAACTGCACACTCCCCTTCTCCGAGGTAAGTTTCGCCGATGCCCCCGTGGAAGACGAGATGTCAACATCCATACAAGTCGTATAAACCTCCGGCATCGCCTCAGCCCCATTGATCGCCGCCGTCGGCCAGTCCCAAACCCAGTACAGCGTGTACTGCTTACTCCCAATCTCAGCCGGCAGCTTGACATCGCTCTGACACCACAGATTCACGCCCATCTCCGCATTCGCCTCCTTAGGGAACTGCTTCTGTCGCTGCAACGAGATCGGGTGGCTGTTAGCCTGGTAACACTGCCCATCATCATAATTCCTCGTCGCCAACAGCACACCGCGGCCATCACCCCCTTTCCCATCCGCGGTCCACACCTTGTGGATATCCATGAATTTGTCAGTCACCAGCGGCTTCTCAGTGCCGTAGATATACACCGTCCCGCGATTCTTCGGCTTCCCCGGATTCGTCTCCGGGATCGTCACATGCCCATTCTCCTGATACCTCAGCGCGACATGATCCCCCTTCCCAGCCGGCAGACGCGGTAAGCCAGGTGTGTTGAGGCCCGGAACAGATTGCGAGAGCATGCACATAGGGTCGGTAGAGAGAATTTTATGAGGGGACCGGCCGTTGGGGGGGAGCAGGTGCGTCAGTACTGCGTCGGAGAATAAGGGGGAGGAGCGGGGTACCATGCCGCGCGGGTAGCCGAGGGAGGGGGTGAATGTGCCGTTGGGGTTGATGAGGCGGAGTTGCTCGATCCAGGTGTGTGCTGATGTGCCCGGGAGGAGGAGGGAGAGGAGGGTGAGGAGGGCGGTGGGATGCATGGCTAGGTAGTAAGATTGTCGTCCTGCGACTATGTGGTGTGTGTTTGCGGGAGAGATTGCTCTCTATTTTTGGTGTAGTATTTCTGATTTCTGGGTAACTAGAATGTGCTTTGAGAACTGCGATTATATAAGAGGTTTTCGAGCAAGTTGCCGAAGATTGAAAGGGCGAGGGATATATAGCGAAGAAATGAATAGCGTTTTTCGATGTGTGAATGAACAGCGCGGCAGTCCAGCTGCTACTGTGTGGCAGGTGATAAAGAAGAGGAGTCAGAGAATGAGAGGTCTGAATGGGAGCTGTTCGGGACTAAAGCTTTCATCTTGGCATTGTCGCGGGCAGCGCGAATAGGGTGGTTGGTTGGCGTGCCGAATGATCAATATGAATATTGCTTCTATGAGGGCGGTTGATGGTTTTTTTTTTCTTTCTGATTGTGAACAGTATTGTCTTTGATGGTACAGATGGGCATTGGTGTTCCAGACAAAAAGGGAACAACAGAAAGCACAATGGGAGGACAATGATAGACAATAAGAATGAAGAGGCGGGTGTGCCTGGGGCAGGGCGTCTTTATGAGTAGCGACGCGACGACAAATGCCGACGACGGGGTGGGTGTGGCAATGTACTCGGAGAAAGCGAAACACGCAATTATGGAGATTTGTCTCCATAACAGGGAGAATAAAAGATCTAGAAGTGGGAATATGTATGACAGCCGCCATGATGGGGACGGCGGCGGGCGGTCGCAACAGCCCCGGCGCCAAGGGGATGGTCGTCAATCAAGCCCAGACCAAGGCCTGTCACCCAATCAGTTCAGCGTCTCACAATCGCCCCCTCAGCACTCGGCAGGGATTCCCCTAACAAAAAAGCTAACAAACCCTGCCAGCCAGCCATTGTCCCTGTCACTCCCGCGTCTGAGGCGTTGGAGCCACAACTACCAGCCACTAATAGCCACTAACAGCCACTAACAGCCACTGCCAGCCACTAACAGCACTAACAGCATTAACGGCCACTAACAGCCACTAACAGCCACTGATTGTCCACTGACAACCACCACCAGCCATCACTAAATCAATCATCACTAAACCACACTAAATCATCACTAAGTCACACTAAATCACACTAAACCATCACTAAATCATCACTAAATCATCACTAAATCATCACTAAATCATCACTAAATCATCACTAAATCATCACTAAATCGTCCCCAGCCATCCCCAGCCAGTCGCTCCCCCGGCACTCGTGTGGTACCTGACTTACTTGCACCCCTTGCACCTACCACCTACCACCACAACCCCGTCTCGACGTCGCATCCACCCCACATCCATCCACACACGCCAGCGTCTGCCGGCCTGCGAACGCATTTACCAGCGATCGCATTTCCCAGCCACAGGTCTAGGACAGCCTAGTGCTTCATGATGGGAGGCGTCGGAGGGGTGAGAGGGTATTGTGGGAAGGGGGGGGGGTTCATCGCATTCTGGGCGAGGAACTGCCATCGAGGGACGGGAACGAACGGGAGATGGGCGGCGCACGACACGGGGTTGGGTCCAATCAAAGTCGCCGGAGTGGTGACGAGGAGGTTGATGGCGAAACGCCGGGACTCGTACACAGGAAAGAGGAGAGCGGGATGGGATTTGATGGTTGGTGGGAACTGATCGTGGATAGCCGTCGGTTTATTTGGGGGGCGCGGGTTTGGCGTGTTCGTGCCAGAGTAGGCGCGAACATGGGAAATGAAGGGATGGGAAGGGTTGAGGAGGGAGAGTTGGATGGTTGGTGAAAGGAGGAGAGGTAATGGGCGCCGATCACGTGGTTGGTGGTGGGGTGGTTGGTTGGCAGTGTTGGCAGTGTTGGCAGTGTTACAGATACCTTAACGCTATATATTCAGCCGCTCAATATAATAAAGAATTTCCACGTCCACCCGGGCCTGTGCAGCAAGGCTGAGAGATCCCGATCCTGTCTACACTGGGAGATTCCCGATGGGTAGATGTTGAGATGATGGAAGGGGGGGGTCTTGAATGATGCGAAGGATGCGAAGGATGAGGGGTGCGTGAGATGACAAGTAGTCCATGGAGCTGGAAAGTTCAGACGAGTTGCCCGGCGGGGATGGGCTGCTTTCGAATGCTGAGAAGAACTGGGCTTGGTGTGCTTAGGTGGGGTGGTGGAGGGTTGGGTCTTGGAGGCGGGGGGGTATGTGAAATGGGAGGCTTGAGAGATATGTTATGGAAGGGAAATACTGTGCTCGCGTTGTGATCTCGCATCCTTCTGTGAATCCTTCTGTGAATCCTTCTGTAAATCCTTCTGTGATACGTCTTGCATCCTTCTGTGATACTGCTCGTGCCTCTCGTCCTGCTGTAAATACCTGCCTCGCATCCTTCTCTATCGTATTCTACTGTAATACACGTCTTACCAATATTCCTTCATTACATCCCGTATTACTATTTGTCAAACCTCTGTCCCAAGAATAAAGAGTCCATTACCCCCTCTTCGATTCTACCTTGATTATCATTGCCATAAAGCCTAATATAATCCCCAAGCATCCCATACACCAACTACCACCAACAACTCAACCTCTCACCAGCACCATGAAGCTCACCACCAACACCATCCTCTTAACCATCTCCACTCTAGCAGCCAGCCAATGGATAGTCCCGAGCAAGTACTGCCCCCACGCTGGCGAGGTTACATGCGGCTTCTTCAATACGTCCGTAATCCACCCTACCATGTTGTTTCTACCTACAGCAGATGACTTATTCTTAGGTGGATAGACCATCGCAAATATTCGTTTGCGCTGGAAGTCCCGCGGTGTGGGAACTTCAGGCTAATTGCCCGGCGGGCACGGAGTGTCATGTGGATGTGAGGAATAACTGGGCTTGGTGTGGTTAGTGTTGACGTATAGAGGGTTGATCTTGTGAGATGCAGCGTATGTGTGATACTAAGTTGGCAGAGGTATCATAGTAGACCAATGCTTCTCGCATCCTACCTAGGATGCGAGAAGCATTACATGTCTCACTTTCTACTGTATTGTAATCTACGTTTCTTCATTCTACTCTAATGTCTTGCATCCTATTATAATACACGTCTCCTATTCCTGCTACATTACATTCCACGGTAAGACATGTCTCGCATCCCCCTATATTACTGTACCTTGGAACTTTGCTTAGAGTATAGAGTACAAAGTATAAAGAATGGACCATTCCCTCTTCAATTTAGCTTTAAGATCATCATCATTGTCATCATTAGTATCTTTGATCCCAAACTAAATACAACTGCCAATCGTTACATATTACCCATTACTCAACCCCCATTCCACCAACACAATGAAACTCACCATCGCCCTCCTACTCGTCACCCTCTCCAGCATAGCTCTCAGCGCGCCACCACAGCCTCGGAGTCACAAAGGTGACTCGTTTAGCGTCGGAGACTGGTGCCCTGCAGATCACAGAATAACCTGTGGCCTTGACGCGATGTCCGTAATTCCGCACCCTCTTCAGTGATGCAAACAGATGGCTGACTATCAGGTGGATAGAACCGAGAACGAAGTGTGGGTCTGTGCTGGAAACCCCCGAAAATGGACATATCAGACTACTTGTCCCAAGGGCACAACGTGCCAGTGGGACTTTTACAAAAATTGGGCTTGGTGTGGTTAGGTTTAGGAGATGTGCTGGGGGGTGGCTGGGATGGTTTTGGGGGGGGGGTTCTATTCTGGGTAGGCTGTGACCAGGACTTACGGGGGCAAACTACGAGGGAATGAGTTGCAGGCGGGGAATGGTATAGTGTAGATGTTAGATCTATTATCTATTATGCACGGCATGTAGACGCATGGCAAACACATGGCAAACACATGGCAAACACATGGCAAACACATTCGTTTACAAAAATCCAAAGATCTAAGATCCAAAACAAAATGCATGCCTTCTATTAAACCCCTAATCCGTCTATATATTTATACTTCATTCCCAAAAGATCCCCCATGATAAAAGCAAAACAAAAGAAACACACAACTTACCCCAAGGCTCCTCGACAACAAAAGAAAAACACACTCACTTACCACCGCCCTTGCTATCCACACTCAGGACGGATAGCGGGCTAACTTTTTGGCCACCTCACGCCGGGCTGCCACCTCCCTTGATACCACCTCCTTGGCCAGTGTTCCGCAAATCATACGAATAAGTCGACTTCGGCCTGTTCCTCGTTGTTCTAATCGGTGGCCCACCCTCTTGCTGTTCGCCTCCTTGCTGTTGACCTCCTTGCTGTTGACCTCCTTGCTGTTGACCTCCTTGCTGTTGACCTCCTTGCTGTTGACCTCCTTGCTGTTGACCTCCTTGCTGTTGACCTCCTTGCCGTGGACATCCTTGCTGTGGACCTCCTTGCTGTGGACATCCTTGTCGTGGACCTCCTTGCTGTTGACCTCTTAGCACACCTCCTGGTATAAGCGGTATCCCGCCTATATGCGGCACGCCAGGCAATGGCGGCGGCACAGGCGTAAAATGAGGCGGAGACGGCGTCTCACCCAGGGCACTTAGACTGCTCCAACTATTCTGTCCTTCCTCATTCACAAACCGCGGAATGCCCCTCAACACATACCTATGCCTGCAAACCGGGCAATTGCCATTATACAACCACCTCAAAATACACTCATAATGGAACAGATGACCGCATGGTAGGCGACGGACATCCTCGCCGTCGCTGCCTTCCGCGCCCAAGTCCATCATACAGACGGCACACGTGTCTCCCACCGGTACCGGATCTGGGCGCTCCAGCAGACCCGTCTCGTCACTCGCATTATCGGGGACGTAGTACAACGCCTGGATTCTTCCCCGCGCGCGTGCCGTAGCGTGGCGCCAGGCGAGCCGAGCGAACCACTGTGCGCGCGCTACTGTTGCGTCTTCCCGCCGGAGGCGCGCGACCCAGCCTTTGGACTCGTCAGGCCCTCCTTCATAGGGCTCGAACTCCATAGCATCGTCGGGATCAGAGAGAGGGGGGAGGACCGGGGGTCTAGAGGAGCCGCCTCCGGAATTGTCGTCATCTTCGGCGTCGCTATCCTCCTCCACGGGATCATCGCGTATATCGTCCATGTCGGCGGCAGCCAGCTCCGCAAGGATCTCCTGGCCTACTCGGTGTTCCACCCACTCGCTTCGCTCGTAGGTGGCGACAGCAAGTTGTGCGTGCGACAGCAAGATGTGCGACACATAAAACGAAGAAAAAGACGCCTTATATATCAACTATATAACTATATAATTAAAACATAAAATCAATAGAACTATTATCACTATCGCTACTGCCACTATTGCTACTATCACTTTGATCCTTACTATACCGTAAAATGATCACTTTTGATTTCAACCCTTCCTTCTTCCGCTCTGCTACCCGCTTCCTCTCAACCTTACGCTCTTCAATTTCGATTTTACGTGCTTGCGCTTGTAGCTGCTTTACTACTTGGTCCGATTCCCTTGCTGCTCTTGCGTCTGCTTTTGCTTGCAACTTTGCTTTCTTCTCTTCCCGCATTTTCCGTGCATCTGATGCATATAACTGCCCTCCTTTCTGTAGTGATTTCCGTGCCCTTGCCTTTGCTGCCTTCTGCTCTACTGCACGTAGAGTCATAATATCTAGCTCGGTCTTATAGAGCTCTGCCCGGTGTAGAACAACTGTAGTTCCACGTGCAAATGATTGAAACCCTTCTCTTGAAGGCGATGAGAAAGCTTCCTCTGCTCTCTTCTGCCAATGTTCAACCGCTTGCACACTTTGCATAGTTGTTTTCGGTGTTGAGATAATATTATATGAAGCAAATGGCTCATAATCAGGTGTTTGATTCCGAGTCTCTTGTATCTTGTCAATTACAAGTGGAGGATTATATGGATATAGTCCTGTATTTCTCCAACCAGATTGAATTGTACGGACAGTTAGAGATTGCCGTCGGATTTGCGGGAGGTCTGAAAGGAACGTACGTAGCTTATACTCATAGTCGTAGCTACGTACTGCTTGATCAAGTGCCTTTTGATGAAAGTGTTTGCACTGCTTAAAAACCGCTACATCAAGAGGTTGTAATAGATGTGTTGTATGAGCAGGAAGGCAGCAAATAACAATGTTATGCTCTTCTGCTAATGTAAGAAAGCGCTCTGTTTTATGAGAGTCATGGCCGTCAAGTAATAAGAGGCGAGTATCATCTGGTGCCATATGCTCTGCAGATAGTTGGATAAAATGCATAAGGTATTGGATTGCAATGTCGTCGTTTGAATACCCGCTCTCATTTACAATAATGAGAGCATTTGGCTCAAGGTCATCATTGTACCATGAATCCATATGAAGTTTGCCAGGGATAATGATAGCTTCTGCAAGTGCAGCACCACTTGCATTTACTGCCTCAATTACAGTAACAGAGAGCCGATTCTCAGGATTATCAACAGTCCACTGCTTTACACCGATTGGTACAATAACAGCCGTAGACTTATAACACCCAATCATATAGCCTGTCTCATCAACATTCCATAAATTATATGGCTTAATGTTATGTTTTGTAATAAGGGCGTTATATGTGAGAAAGAATTCCTCAAACACCTCTTTCTTTTGTGCTTGCTTCCGATGTGTATTTAACGTCTTCGTGTGAATTGTATGAAATTCGGGGTGTGCTTTTAGAAAGCGTTGTAGCCACCGTTGTGATGGTATCGTACGATTAGGTCGTAAGTCTGCAACTGCCCGTAGTATCATAGATCGGTTGGCAGGGACCCCGCGCTCAAGTTGGTCGTATATGAATTGACAGACCGCGGTCTCTTGCGATTGAGATAAGACTCGATTGCTACCTCCGTGGGGTAATTGAGGAGACGTAGTACTCGTAATACGACATCGGAGTGTCTCACGGTTGACATTGAATTTATTTGCAACCCAAGCAATTGTATATGTACTTGGTTGTTTTAAGAAGAACTGTTGGGCCTCATTAAGGCGAGCAATCATAGTAGGATCGTTATTTTGAGGCATTGTAGATACTACGTTATGAAGAATACTATTATTTTTTCTATATATCAAAATAGCGGTGTACGCACATCTTGCTGTCGCACGCACAACTTGCTGTCGCCACCTACGAGCGAAGCGAGTGGGTGGAACACCGAGTAGTATGTCGGGGTCTTCAAATAGCTCCTCCGGGTCCGCGAGATCGCGCAAAGCCAAGTTGCCATCCTGCTGCGCTTCGCTGACGAGCTGGAAGAATCTGTCACGACTCGAGTTCGAGCGGGTACGCCATTCGTTATTGGAGCGAATGAGGTCATCCTCGGTGGGGGGCGGTTCAGGGCGGCCGCAGCGCTGACAGTTCGGACATAGATATTCGGCATAGGTGGCATAGTCAGGTGGGTAGCGGCAGACTGCCGGGTTGCAGACGCCTGTTGGATTCATTGGATGGTTGCACCGATTAAAATTGATGACGTGCGTGCAGTGGGCGTAGTATATTCGGCGCTGCTCACACCAGCGTTCGATGGGAGGGCCGTCTTCGACGAATGCTATGTGATTGAGGAAGGGGGTTAAGGGGGAAATGAACCTGTTCTCCATGGAGGTCTGGTAGGGGCCAGCTGGATCAGAGCCATAAGCGGGATCGGAGCCAGAGGCGGGGTCAGAGCCAGAGGCGAGATAACCAGAAGAGGGATCAGACATTTTGGATGGGGATGTAGTTTTTCTTACCTATATTATTTGCTTCGCTGTTGTTGTTGATGCTGATATGTGGACTGCTCTTGTGCCCACGAAGGGACAGTCGCGAAGATGCTTGTGGATCTGAAGAGCAATTATCCAGGTCATGCGTGTGCATTATATATCCATAAAGTAGACAATAGTCAAAAGATCTATTCATCCCTCGGGAGCTGAATCGGATATTAGTCTCTATTGTCCTTCCATTGTTATTCATTGCTCCTCAAATAATTCGAGTCACTGAACTAAGGCTCGATTGTTTCCAGAGTAAGAGTACTCCGGGCTGGACGGACAATGGAGGGGATCGTGAAGGGGCTCCGTATTTGTTTGTGATGCGGACAATTAATGCAAGACTCCGTGGTTTGGTATTAAAGCACTGACAATGAGTTTGGGACGGGGGAAATGAATAAGTGTTCTTGAAGGTGGTCTGCCTTTGTTGGGATTTCTTGATGAGAGTTTCGGGGAGAAGGAAGGAAGGATGTATTGATGCTTTGTTCGTTTCCTTCCTGTGATATTTCAGATCCCAGTGATACCACACAAAGAGTCACATGAAACCGGCACATTTTGTCCATGGTGCCCCCGGATGGGATATAGCACACACCAAGAATTAATTTCAACAAAACAAGCATCTATTCCACACACTAGAAGACCATATATCGCTATGGCTTGTCGTTCCATACCTTGTCCAGGAAGTCCTCCGTCTGAGTGAACTTATATTCCGGCAGGATTCGATTAAACTCGTCCGACACATCCCACGCTCCCTTTGCACCGTTCTGGAGCGTACTGATGAGCACAGATTTCAAAGCCTCCGAAGCCTGTTCTTCAGAGACACTTGGGTGCCTCGTTTCAAATTTCTATGAGGTTTTGAGCTTCCCAGCTTCGAGGTCTTCGAGTTTCACGGTGTCGATGGCAAATGGATGATCTGTTATCTCTAGTCAGCGTACAATTTATCTTTTCCGATGTAAGAAAATTAAAGCATACCTCGAACTCTTTCGTCCTATCTTGAGGAGCTGTGAGACAGTAACTCCATTGCCACTGATGCCACCAATAACGGGCCACTAGCCACGTTCGATTGCCTCAACAACAACTCCAGTAAGATCTTGGACGGGGGTGAAAGTCGTGACGAAATCATGGCCTTCGACGACAATTGCACGCCGTTTCTCGAAGTCGAACATCGTATTTAGCGGAACCACTTTAGAGGTCCTGTGTGGAGATGCCAAATAGTTCAGGAAAAGACCTGGTTGAAATAGGCAATACTCGAGAATCTACAGGGGCAGCATTAGAAAAAAACTATAGCGAGGGGCGGGTATACTTACTTTTCCATTATCGTTCATTTTTTGTTAGCAGGATTTCCAAATATGATATAGATATTTGGAGAGATGCACGTCCTGTGCCACCCAGTGTGCGGCGAATCACCTCCCGAATACGATTCGGCGATTTGGTGATTCATTCATATTTTTGAGGTATTCGCCGAATCATGACTCGAATCTAATTCGAGTCATGATTCGAATCTTTGATAGAGTGTAACGTACATGTATAGCGAAAGCGCCAAACAAGCGAAAGCGCCAAAATGATGCGGTGACCAAACCCCCCAACTAAATGTTAAATTCCTCAACAACAAAACATGCCCCATAAAAACGATGAAAGCCAATTAGTGCTAGCTATCCAGGCTATGCAAAGCGACCCAAAGTTACGCCTTCGAGTTGCTGCTAGGATCTATTCTGTGGACCACCGCAAGCTAGGTCGTCGTCTAGATGGTGTACCTTCACGACGCGATATCCAAGCCAACTCACGGAAATTAACTAACCTAGAGGAGTCCGTCCTTGTTCAGTATATACTCGACCTAGCTGCCAAAGGGTTTCCTCCTCGGCTGTCTGTTGTTGAAGATATGGCAAGTCGACTACTTGCAACACGCGACGCGTCACGCGTTGGGTCGCGTTGGGCTTCAAACTTTGTTAAGCGGCGTGTAGAGCTCCAGACACGCTTTCAGCGCAAATACGACTACCAGAGGGCTAAGTGCGAAGATCCAGAAGTTATTAATGGCTGGTTTGAGCTTGTGCGTAACACAATTGCGAAATATGGTATCGATGAAGCAGATATCTACAACTTTGATGAGACTGGGTTTATGATGGGCGTTATCTCAACTGCTATGGTTGTAACAAGCTCAGACGGGCGGGCAAAAGCAAAGAAGGTACAGCCTGGTAATCGGGAATGGGTTACAGTAATCCAAGGCGTTAGTTCTCAAGGTTGGGCAGTACCACCATTTATCATTGTTGCAGGCAAAAACCACCTTACATCTTGGTATGAGAATAGTGGATTTTCAAGCGATTGGGTGATTTCTGTTACTGAAAATGGCTGGACTACAAACGAGAGAGGCATGGATTGGATTCAGCACTTTGAGAAGCATACAAAGGCCCAGAGTGTTGGTGGTTATCGCTTGTTAGTCCTTGATGGTCATGAGAGCCACCACTCAGATGAGTTTGAGGAGTACTGCAAGGAACACAACATTATTACGCTTTGTATGCCTGCTCACTCTTCTCATCTACTCCAGCCACTTGATGTTGGCTGTTTCGGCCCGTTAAAGCAGGCCTATGGTCGGCAAATTGAACATATGATGCAGGCTCATATTTCTCATATTACAAAGGATGACTTCTTTCCTGCCTTCCACGCTGCATTTAACACTACAATGACGGAAAGTAACATTCGAGGCGGGTTCCGAGGGGCAGGGCTTCTTCCATTTGACCCTGAGAGAGTGATATCTACACTTGATCTTAAGTTAAGGACACCAACGCCTCCAAGCTCCCGCCCAGGTACTGCTCAACCTTGGGTTTCTCAGACACCAAACAACCCAATTGAAGCTATGTCACAGTCTACATTTATTAAAACTCGGATTTCACGCCATCAAAATAGCTCTCCAACCTCAATCTATGCAGCTGTTGACCAGTTTACAAAGGGTGCATCGCAAATAATGCATCAATTAGCACTGCTAAAGGGAGAGAACCAAAACCTACGACAGGCAAATGAAGTACTAAGCAAGCGCCGGAGAGCTAGGAAAACACGACTACAGCAAGGAGGATCACTTAGTCAACAAGGGGCGCAAGAGCTACAGGATGAGAGGGATGTTGTGCAGCAGGTAGAGCAGGAAATAAGGGCAAGCCGTGGTCGGAAGCCAAGGGAAGAAACCCGTGCCCGTCGCTGTGGCAAGTGTGGTGAGACTGGGCACAATGCGCGCACGTGTCAGATTGTAATAGACACCTCTGAGGAAGAGGACTCCGAGTAGTTTCAATTGATTTCTAATGTTGTGGTAGATTTATCGCAATGTTTGTCGTGAGGGTAGATAATTTTGGTGCTTTCGCTTGTTTGGCGCTTTCGCTATACATGTACGTTATAGAATATTGAAAACTATGGAAAATATTTAACTATGCCTAACCTATATGTTCACTTGCATCTTCGACATCCTCATCTTCGACATCCTCATCGTCGACAATTATCCCCCAATCCCGTAGACATAGTAAATATCTAATTGTTGAAGGTAATAGTCTATTCCTTTTCTTTGTGACAATGTCAGCTCCTTGGCTAAAGACCCGTTCTGATGCTGCTGATGTTGCTGGAATTGCTAAATAGTCTCGAGCTATTTGTGCAATTATTGGATACTGATACTGCTTTGCTTGCCAATATTTAAGGATATTAGTCTCAGGCTTATCAACTCCTGGCTCATTAAGCCACCGTCTCCATTCAACCTCTTGAAGTATAGGCTTTCGATGCTTAAACATCTCATCCTCGGAGTCCACTTCTTGAGGTATATCCTCATCCTCATTATCAAGCACAGCATCCATTTCCTCTACTCGAATATCATTGTCCCGTGTTTTATACTTGTTATAACAAGCTGCAAACTGTGCTCTTGCTCGTTCCTTGCTTGTGTTATAAAAGCTTTCAGGCAAATAGAAGTCAAATATACTAAAATTAAACTGAGGATCACATATTGTTGCAACTGTTGAATGGCTTGACCGTTGGCTTGTTGCAAGTGAGAAATAGTCGTCCAATTTGTTGAATGCAGCAGTACAAGCTTCGTTGATACATGTATGCTTAACAGTCTTCTTGATCTTCTTAATTTTATCCATTAGTCGTAGATAATATGGAACACAGTAGTTAAATGTTGGATACCCATCTGCTTGCACCTTTTCTGGGATACGCTTAAAAATCTCAAAGAACTCTGCAAGAGCATGAAGTAATTCCCATTCTTTTGAAGAAATCTGGATATCACGCATGCTTATATCAAGAGTCTGTGATGCACAAATGGCTGTGATTGGTGCCTCCATTGACAATGCATTTTGAAGCATATGATATGTTGAGTTCCATCGTACTGGCATATCAATTGTAAGAGTAACAGGCTTGATTCCAGTGGCTATAGCATGAGAACGAAGACTATCCTTCCACCCTCGACGATTCCTAAACACATAGATGTGCTTGCGGAGCTTTGTTAAAGCGTTAACAACTTCTTCTTTTTCGGAATAGATAGCATTAATCTGAGTATAAGCTAAACCCTCTTGAACTCGATAGCTCTCAAGCTCTTCTGATGGTACAGCTTTCATCATCATAAGAGCTGCTTGAACAGCTAGATTTATAATATGTGCCATACATCGTACATCGCCATCTTTAACAGTAAAGCTCCATGGCTGATTTGTTGTTGTTGGAACATCTGCTGCATTGCTGTATTATTTGACACATTGTCTCTTGTGATAGTAAAGACTCCATGTGTAATTTTGAAATCATCTGTAACTGAGAGTAATTGCTGAGCTAGGTATTCGCCAGAATGAATAGGTTCAAGTAGATTTATCACATCTAGGATTCTTGAATGTTGGACCCAATCTTTTGATATCCAGTGTACGGTAACAGCAGCATGATCTGTTCCATTTATAGCAGTCCAAGCATCAGTCGTAAGTGATAATCGCCCACCTGCTTTAATATTACTATGCAGTTCCAGTTGTAGCTGCCCTCGATGATAGCAAAATTGCCTGTGTAGGTCCTTTTTCAAAGACGTTGAAGAAATACTCAAGACTGAAGGATTGAGGTAATGCACTAGCTGCCGGAATGAGAATTTATCTACCAATCTCATTGGTAGATTATTCATAATGATGAATGCAAGTAACAATTCTCGGAATTTGGTGCCTGACACTGGAGTTGTACCATGAGGATTTGGCTTGAAGAATCTAGACAAAGATGCACGGTTCTGAGGGTGGATATTGTCTTTATTCTGAAGTTTTCGAGTAGATTTTGAAGACGCTTCAAAGACAGTTGGATGCTTTAGTTCAATATGTCTCCATAAATTGCTTGTTGTATTTTGCGATACCAGTTTAGCTTCAGGCATATATGAACAGCCTTCTTGCGTACAAGCATATTGCATCTTATTAGGAGAGCTTCTTAAGATAGTACGAGAATATAGGTTCTTTGTAAAAAGAGCAGAATGAGTGACTGGTAGCTGTAGTGTTGCGGTACTGCTTTGTGGTAATGATAGCGAAGACGATGAGAATACTCCATCATTACTGTTATGTTCATAAATAACATGATCGTCAAGATCCTCAGGGGCGTCAGACAACTCGGAATCACCATAATGATGATAATTGTAATGATTGAATGTATTAAATGTCAATCTAAAAAGCTATATATTGAGGACGACAGTAAGTCCTCACCGCTAGATGCTTGGACATCTTAGACATCTTGGCAAGTATTCGGATCATTCAATCTTGGCAAGTATTCGGATCATTCAAATACTTGCCGAATCATGATTCGAATCATCAAGAAATAGCCTGAATCAGATCATGAATCGAATCTGATTCGGTGTGAATCACGTTAAATAACGTAACTTAACATACATGCATAGCGAAAGCTCCAGCATAGTGAACGCTCCACCCCACCACACCTGCACATTTTGTAACAGCTATTACACAAACCAATATGATTAATTAATTCAAGCTAGTAGAACATCTTTCTCAGATGTTTCTACTACTACCTGACAGGTCCTCGTGTTATGTCCAGCCTCCCCGCAGTTGCCATAACGCCGAGAGCACGTTTCAGTCCTTGGCGCACGACTACTACCCACGTGCATTTCCTCCTTTATCTGCTCAGAGTTTTCACCAGAATTGTGAGAACCATGGTTGAGTCCCCTAGTTCGGTG